TTTATTATTATTATTATTATTATTATTATTATTATTATTATCATTATTATTATTACTGAGAAAATCAGTTGGACCCATTAGGAGGATTGGAACCTGTACCCTGGGTACTGGAAGCAGGTTCCAATCCTCTTCAAGACTCCTGCAGATTTTCTCACCGATATATCACGTTAATGTTATTTCTTTGTGCATTATTATTATAATTATAATTATTTGTATTATTACTATTTGAACAAGAAAATTTACATAAACATTTTAGTAATAAAAAAATATATATTAGAGTACATCTCGACTTATTATATGGATATTAAAATCTAATACGGAAGAAGCGCATGTAAGGGACGGATGTGTGCTTTTGACAGTGACTGACAGATAGACAGACACAAATGGGAACTCTATATCACGTTTCAGGTACTTGAAGCACCTTTAAGTTCCCCGAAGGTCTGTTTCTCTTAAGATAAATATTACATTCCATTCAAAATTGTAATATTATAATTTTTATAATATTACACTACTTAATATTATATAATACATATCATTTGTATAATAAACTCGTATCTCGTACTATAAACATTAATTATATTAGGATGAAATGGACCTAAGAACAATATTAACACGGTAAATAAAATATAAAAGACACCAATGGTCCTGGTGTTTGTGGGAGGCGCCACCACACCTGCCTGACGCCGGGACGCTGTCAGGCAGGTGTGTCAGGCTGCCTGACGCCGGGACGCTGTCAGGCAGGTGTGTCAGTCTGCCTGACGCCGGGACGCTGTCAGGCAGGTGTGTCAGGCTGCCTGACGCCGGGACGCTGTCAGGCAGGTGTGTCAGTCTGCCTGACGCCGGGACGCTGTCAGGCAGGTGTGTCAGGCTGCCTGACGCCGGGACGCTGTCAGGCAGGTGTGTCAGTCTGCCTGACGCCGGGACGCTGTCAGGCAGGTGTGTCAGGCTGCCTCACGCCGGGACGCTGTCAGGCAGGTGTGTCAGGCTGCCTGACGCCGGGACGCTGTCAGGCAGGCGTGTCAGGCTGCCTGACGCCGGGACGCTGTCAGGCAGGTGTGTCAGGCTGCCTGACGCCGGGACGCTGTCAGGCAGGTGTGTCAGGCTGCCTGACACGCTGGCGAGACCTGCTACGAGCAGTTAGGCACGTTGACACCAGCCAACCTGTCCTCTTACAAATTACGTCTGAATTTAGCCGTATCCGTATGGCCGAAACTTTACGTAATTGAAAATAATACAAAAATTGAAAATAAATTTGGGATTTATTTTTACCAAAACAGTAAGTTAAGGATCCTCTGGTAGGTTAGGAGCGCAGGAAATTCTCCTAAAGTTTTAAAACGACATGAAAAACGTGAATTACAAGTGACCTCTCCTAACAGAGTAAACTGGAGGACCCAAACAGAAAACGGAACAGTACTTTACTTTCGTGAGTCGATTTCATTTCAAATTACGTCAGTTTTCGGCCATAGCGCGCACACGAGCGGAAAGCGACGTTATTTTGAAAGGACGGATCATCACCTGCTACGAGCAAAAGTAGTCTACGGGCTCACCATAGCCCGTGTTGTTTGGAACTTTTTGTTCCAGGTGGCGAATCTTTAACAACAACAACAACATGCTACGAGCAGTTAGACGCGTTTCACCAGTCAACACCTGCCACGAACACCTCAGTTGTGTCTGTGACTGTGCTTGGGGAAGTTCACAGGTCCCACAGAGAGGTCAAGTGTCTGTCTTGCCGGCTCTAACTGTCAAGTTAGAGCCGGCAAGATACAGTAAGTTACCTAACCTCTCCTCACATAAATCCATCAGATTCGGACGCTATGTTCAAAAGCGTGGAATTAAATTGATTTATTTGGCAGTTAAGCGTGAAGAGTGTGTTCTTTAGAATGCCTCTTGTGTCAACGTCAAATCCTGTCAATTTTAGCTCTTCTCGCTCAACAAATCGTCTCACCAGGTAGGTGTAGTGTTCTACAGGTCCGACAAGTGTTCATCATTTCTGTCAATGTTCACAATGTCTGTCAATGTTCTCCAGGTCCGACAACTGTTCACCATTTGTCAATGTTCACAATGTCTGTCAATGTTCTCCAGGTCCGACAAGTGTTCACCAAGCCTTTTAAAGTGTTCACCAGTCGTGACAGGACACCATTTTCACCAGACTTAAGATACATCGTGATCACCGTTATGTGGTAGTGATCAAGACCCAGGGTGGCTCTTCCCGTACAGGAGCCACGGCAACTTACGATACCTAGTAGTGGCGTTTGTGTCACAGGTAGCGTGCAGGTGTAGGTCACAGGTAGCGTGCAGGTGTAGGTCACAGGTAGCGTGCAGGTGTAGGTCACAGGTAGCGTGCAGGTGTAGGTCACAGGTAGCGTGCAGGTGTAGGTCACAGGTAGCGTGCAGGTGTAGGTCACAGGTAGCGTGCAGGTGTAGGTCACAGGTAGCGTGCAGGTGTAGGTCACAGGTAGCGTGCAGGTGTAGGTCACAGGTAGCGTGCAGGTGTGTCTGGTAGCCAGGTACATGTCAGTCAACTGATCTTCACCTTCTTATTGTGTATTCCTGTGTAGTATTGACGGAGAACCTCACTATTCTCGCACTCTCTCTCTCTGGTCCTATACAGGTTTCTCCCTTGCTATCTATCTTTATCTGGAGCTGTCTATCTTTATCGGGCTCTGTCTGTCTGTCTGTCTGTCTGTCTGTCTGTCTGTCTGTCTGTCTGTATGTCTGTCTGTCTGTCTGTCTGTCTGTCTGTCTGTCTGTCTGTCTCTGTCTGTCTGTCTCTCTCTCTCTCTCTCTCTCTCTCTCTCTCTCTCTCTCTCTCTCTCTCTCTCTCTCTCTCTCTCTCTCTCTCTCTCTCTCTCTCTCTCTCTCTCTCATACACACGTATCAATAAAACATCTCACTAGAAGATTATTGGGTGTCGGCGCCTCTTATTTCATTGATTATTGGGTGTCTTTATTTTGAACGGGATGTAATATGCTGTAAAGTTTTTTTTTTTACATCCGCTAGTAAGGAATGACAGAGTGGCCGTGAGAGTACCCACAAGTGGCCTCGACCTTCTTTACCCAGGTTCGATTGATGGTTTCTGAAGGTCAGACCTTGAGGTATTTGCAGCAACGTTCAGTAGATTCGTCACAGTTTTTGAGTTCTCTGTCAAGGAACGTCCGGAAAGTTATATATTAGTGCTGGTCAGGGGTTAGGATTTTAGGGTAAATAATTTGACGAGGAAGGTTTGTCAGGAAGGAATGCATCAAGATTTTGATTTTGTATTGGTAGTTTTATTTTTTTTTTTACTCGTGAAGTGATTATTGGATTTGTGGAATGTTATGTTTAGTCTGAGATGTTGGTGTGTTTGTTGAAGAGTCGAGGGGCGCTATAGGGTGAGGGGCAGCAGTTTATCTTGGTGGTGGTTGGTGGTGGAGGCTGGTGGTGGTGGAGGCTGGTGGTGGAGGCTGGTGGTGGTGGTTGGTGGTGGTGGCTGGTGGTGGTGGTTGGTGGTGGTTGGTGGTGGTGGAGGTTGGTAGTGGAGGCTGGTGGTGGAGGTTGGTGGTGGAGGCTGGTGGTGGAGGCTGGTGGTGGTGGCTGGTGGTGGAGGCTGGTGGTGGAGGCTGGTGGTGGAGGCTGGTGGTGGTGGTTGGTGGTGGAGGCTGGTGGTGGTTGGTGGTGGTGGTGGCTGGTGGTGGTGGCTGGTGGTGGAGGCTGGTGGTGGTGGTTGGTGGTGGAGGCTGGTGGTGGTTGGTGGTGGTGGTGGCTGGTGGTGGAGGCTGGTGGTGGAGGCTGGTGGTGGTGGTTGGTGGTGGAGGCTGGTGGTGGAGGCTGGTGGTGGAGGCTGGTGGTGGAGGCTGGTGGTGGAGGCTGGTGGTGGTGGTTGGTGGTGGAGGCTGGTGGTGGTGGTTGGTGGTGGAGGCTGGTGGTGGTGGTTGGTGGTGGAGGCTGGTGGTGGCGGCTGGTGGTGGAGGCTGGTGGTGGTGGTTGGTGGTGGTGGTTGGTGGTGGTGGTTGGTGGTGGTTGGTGGTGGTGGAGGTTGGTGGTGGAGGCTGGTGGTGGTGGTTGGTGGTGGAGGCTGGTGGTGGAGGCTGGTGGTGGTGGTTGGTGGTGGAGGCTGGTGGTGGAGGTTGGTGGTGGAGGCTGGTGGTGGAGGGTGGTGGTGGTTGGTGGTGGAGGTTGGTGGTGGAGGTTGGTGGTGGAGGCTGGTGGTGAAGGTTGGTGGTGGCTGGTGGTGGTGGTTGGTGGTGGAGGTTGGTGGTGGAGGCTGGTGGTGGTGGCTGGTGGTGGCTGGTGGTGGAGGCTGGTGGTGGAGGTTGGTGGTGGTTGGTGGTGGAGGCTGGTGGTGGAGGCTGGTGGTGGAGGCTGGTGGTGGAGGCTGGTAGTGGAGGTTGGTGGTGGAGGCTGGTGGTGGAGGCTGGTGGTGGAGGTTGGTGGTGGAGGTTGGTGGTGGAGGCTGGTGGTGGAGGTTGGTGGTGGAGGCTGGTGGTGGCTGGTGGTGGAGGCTGGTGGTGGAGGTTGGTGGTGGAGGCTGGTGGTGGAGGCTGGTGGTGGTGGTTGGTGGTGGTTGGTGGTGGTGGAGGTTGGTGGTGGAGGCTGGTGGTGGAGGCTGGTAGTGGAGGCTGGTAGTGGAGGTTGGTGGTGGAGGTTGGTGGTGGAGGCTGGTGGTGGAGGCTGGTGGTGGAGGTTGGTGGTGGAGGTTGGTGGTGGAGGTTGGTGGTGGAGGCTGGTGGTGGAGGCTGGTAGTGGAGGCTGGTGGTGGAGGTTGGTGGTGGAGGCTGGTGGTGGAGGCTGGTGGTGGAGGTTGGTGGTGGAGGTTGGTGGTGGAGGTTGGTGGTGGAGGTTGGTGGTGGAGGCTGGTGGTGGAGGCTGGTAGGGGAGGCTGGTGGTGGAGGTTGGTGGTGGAGGTTGGTGGTGGAGGCTGGTGGTGGAGGCTGGTGGTGGAGGTTGGTGGTGGAGGTTGGTGGTGGAGGTTGGTGGTGGAGGTTGGTGGTGGAGGCTGGTGGTGGAGGCTGGTGGTGGAGGCTGGTAGTGGAGGCTGGTAGTGGAGACTGGTGGTGGAGGCTGGTAGTGGAGGCTGGTTGTGGAGGCTGGTGGTGGAGGCTGGTAGTGGAGGCTGGTGGTGGAGGCTGGCGGGACACTACGAGGTGATCTCCTCCACTTGAAGGTCGCCCAGGTTGGTAGATGAAGAGTAATCCTGGGTGGCGGCTCCAGGCAGCTGCGATGATCCAAAACTACTCTTACTGCCCTTGTTGCTGCTAGCGACGCTGCTGGAGGCTCCCGGGTGGCCGCTGTCCACCTCGCTGCTCACCAGGTCACAGTCGTTGTCAAGGTAGCTCTCCTGAGGGGGAGTGGTGCCCTTGTTAGCCCTCAACACAACGACGGACAACAACACAACACTACAGGTTTGTATCAATGACATATATGCCCTATACAATCCTACATCAATTATTCAGAAGACTAGTGAAACATATTGATGTCAATGATCACACAGGCATGAGGAGGATGAGTTGTCTGCATTTTCCAGGACTACCAGAATGTATTCGACACTGATGCACACTATGACGCTCTTACATATAATTAAGAAAGAAGGTAGAGTAGCTGGGTAGTAGAATATATATTCCAAAGTAAGAAGAGAGCAGTAGTCAAATTAGAGAGAGCAGAATGGAGGGAAGTAACAAGTACCACAGAACTAGAACCTCTACTCCTTCTGACATGTGTATATGAAGTAGAGGACAGTAGGATCCTCCATGTTAGTGTTTGCTGACGACTCAAAGTTGATGAATAAGAATAAAAGCTTGCAGAATGCTGCAGGATATATATGTAGTAGATGTATGTGAGAGAAATATATGTAGTAGATGTATGTGAGAGAAATATATGTAGTAGATGTAGGTGAAAGAAATCAACTTAGAAATCTTATACTAGAGAACCGACTGAACAAAAACCACTTAATTATTTCTGGTGACTTTAACGTTGACCTCTGCGAGCCTGATAACTCTCCTGCTGCTAGTTTCCTCAACTGTATGAATTCCTGCTTCCTCATACCCGTAATCACTAGACCTACTAGAATCACTGACAGTACAGCCACGGCTCTTGATCACATCTGGACCAACATAACCTCTCCACTTCAGGGATAATCCTCGATAGCACTACAGACCATTACCCCACATTTCTCCTAACCAACATTAACAAACCACCTCTAGAGGCAAGGGAGATAAGCTTTAGGCTGCACAATGAAACTGCTATAGGCAATTTTATAGCTGCTGCTGCTAATATCAACTGGGAATCTGAATTAGGGAACATAGGGGACATCAACCTAGCAGTGCAATCATTTCTTCAAAAAACTCTCAGCCTTTATAACACCCACTGTCCTATGCTAAAGAAACAAGTCACAACTAAAAGGCTAAACAATCCTTGGCTTACAAAGGGAATACTTAAATCCATTAATAAAAAACATGACCTTGAGAAGAAGTATAGGTTAGGAATCGTCTCCAAAGAATTCTCAAAGAATTACTCATCATTGCTATCTAAAATAATTAGGAGAGGCAAAATTAATTACTACAAAGACAAATTTACCCACACAAAGGGCAATATTAAGAAAACATGGAGCACAATTTCTCAAATATTGGGATCAAAGAAGATTATAAATAACAAACCAATACTCCTGTCAAATAATGATGGTCAGCTTTCAGCCTCTGACACTGCTCTTGAGTTCAATAGGTTCTTCTCTTCCATTGGGTCATCCCTTGCAAATGATATTCCATCGTCCAGTACTAATATTCAGGACTATCTTACAGGAAACTATCCACAGTCTCTGTACCTAATGCCTACTAATTCCACTGATGTTACTGACATAATCCTTTCCCTTAAAACCAAGTCTAGTGCCCTTGAGGAGATACCAACTCTTATTTACAAAATAGCCTCCAGATTTTTAGCTCCTGCCATTCCATTGCTCTTCAAGTCATTTGAACTCCAAACCTTTCCAGATATTCTAAAAAAATAGCGAGAGTAACCCTTGTCCACAAATGTGGTGATCTCACAGATGTTAACAACTTCAGACCTATATCAATTCTGCCAAACTTATCAAAAATATTTGAAAAACTAATCTATAAGCAGCTTTACTCTTATCTAGCCAAACTCAATATACTTAGCTCTTGTCAATATGGCTTCAGACCCCAAAAAAGCACTAACGATGCACTTATTAGTATGATTAACTTGATATATACAGCTCTTGATAAAAATGAGTTCCCTGTTGGGTTATTTGTAGACCTGCGTAAGGCTTTTGACACTGTCAACCACCAAAACCTTCTTAAATTACAACATTATGGAGTCAGAGGCCACTCCCTGCAGTACATTAAGTCTTACCTTACTGACAAGCTCCAGTATCTTTCTGTGAATAATTCAATTTCTCCCACCCTACCCATCAACATTGGTGTTCCCCAGGGCAGCATACTTGGCCCTCTCCTCTTTCTCATCTACATTAATGACCTTCCAAATGCCTCCCAACATCTCAAACCAATTCTATTTGCTGACGATACGACCTTCATTTACTCCAGTCCTGACCTCCTTGCTCTAAATGTCACAGTGAATACCGAGCTAAATAAAGTCCATCACTGGCTAACTGCCAACAAACTCACCCTCAATATTGATAAAACTTTCTATATTTTGTTTGGCAATAAATCCTCAAATCAAATAAATGTCAGGATTAACAATACCCAAATTGTAACAAAGTAGATGGCAAATTCCTTGGCGTTCTCATTGACCGCAAGCTGAATTTCCAGGGACACATTCTAAATATATCAAAAAAAGTTTCGAAAACTGTTGGCATTCTTTCTAAGATCAGATATTATGTACCTCGCCCTTCCCTGGTGACACTCTATTATTCTCTCATCTATCCTTATCTCAACTATGGTATTTGTGCTTGGGCTTCTACTACCCAAAATCATTTACGTCCTCTAATTACTCAACACAAAGCTGCTATTAGGATAATATCTCACTCTGGCCCCAGACATCACTCGGTACCCTTACTCAAATCTCTGAATATGTTAGATATTAAGTCCCTGCACATCCTCTCATGTGTATTTTATATATATAAAATGCTGAACTGTAATGTCAGTCCTGACCTTAAAAGCTTCCTAGAAGGTTGTAACAGATCACATGAGCATCACACCAGAAACAAATACCTATTTGATATTCCAAGAGTACGACTTAGTCAAACTAGAAATGCTTTACAAATCAAGGGACCCAGAATGTGGAATGACCTTCCCAATTATGTTAAAGACTGTAACTCTCCCAACCAGTTTAAGATAAAAACTAAGCATTACCTAATTAACTCAATGTAACCTACCTCACCTCCAAAATGTCAACCCATGTCTTCTATTTTAAACAATGCTGTTTTGTTGACCAAATTGTATTTTTGCTTTTTTCTGCCATGTTCCCCCCCCCCCTTTTTCCATTCTTTTCTTATTTTTTCTCAACACATTTTTTACTTTAATCTCAATTAGTATTAAGTTTTAGTCTTAGTGTTTTTCCTGCCCAAAACGCTTTGCGTAATAGTGGCTTTAGGCATTGTATGTACTAGCTCTATCTATAAATCCATCAACTTTTGCAATTTACCTTGTATGCATGTACCTTACCTGAATAAAAATTTATTATTATTATTATTTAATAAATATATATAGTAGATGTAGGTGAGAGAAATATATGTATTAGATGTATGTGAGAGAAATATATGTAGTATATACGATAGAGGAAAACAGGTCTACATTAGAGAAGCGATTGTTAGAAAGACTGGGTCCAAGAGCTAACTGCTAGACCCTGCGGGCACAAATAGTGACTACACACACACAACAGTCAAACCTAAACACAATATGACTCACCAAGTTTATGCTACAGCTTGTGAGTTATAAATTATAAGTTGACCAAGAGAGGTTAGGTCATAATTAGTGAGAATATGAATTAATGGGTCAAACACACGACACTCACAAGGGAGGGGCACGCACATGAGAGAGAGAGAGAGAGCGAGAGAGAGAGAAAGATACTCACGTCAGTAGCGGAGGGGGGCGTCGGGGTGGAGTGGTGTGAAGACTGGGGCGCCGCCGCCGCACCGTCGCGACTGCTCTTGTAATTGTTGTTGACTGGAAGCTTCTTGGC